CGCCGGGCCCCGAGGCCTAGGGCAGACCGGCCCCCCGCCCTCGCACCCACGCACACGCCCACTCGGCCGCCTTCTGCTCTCCCCAGCACCCTCTTACCTCCCCCGGGAGCGTCAGCTCCTCCCGAGACTCCAGTGTGCCTGGCTCTCCCTCCAGCATCGTGGTGAGTACCCACCACCAGCACCCTCAGGTTGGGAGGAGGGGAGTGGGTGCCCAGGTCACGCAGAGCCCCCCCAGTGCACCCCACATCTGTTTTGCCGGCGTAGAGAACCCAGAGATCCAGAGGAGGCTCCCACGGCCCCCATCAAGATCTGCTCTGATTGCTCGCAAAGTGCGACGCAAAGAGACTGTCGTTTAAGATGACGTCTAAGTCTTTAAAATAATGGAGCCCTTCACGCGTGCGACCGACAACTCTAATGGCTGCCCGTGTTCTTGGCGGCAGACTAAAGCAGCCCGTGGGGCCAGTGTCCCGGGAGAGGATTTCTGCACATCTGGTCCATCCTGTTTCCCCTCAGGCCAAGATGGACAACCAGGTGCTGGGCTACAAGGACCTGGCTGCCATCCCCAAGGATAAGGCCATCCTGGACATCGAGCGGCCAGACCTCATGATCTATGAACCCCACTTTACCTACTCCCTCCTGGACCACGTGGAGCTACCCAGAAGCCGGGAGGTGAGGGTCTTCTTGGTCGCAGGCCATGGGGTGGGGAATGGAATCCACTCATGCTGTCCTTCCTGGCAGCCAGTGACGGTCCCAGGAGCAAGAGCACTAGGCAGAGCACTGGGAATCACCAAGTGGATCAATCCACCCAGTGTTTACAGAGCGTGGCCCACAGCTGGGGTGTGGCCCGGATGTGGAGGGCCGGAGAGGCCAGGGCTGAAGGGCAGCAGCGTGGGGGAGGGGCCCTGTGGGCAAGAGGGACAGTAGGCGAAAGAACAAAGCCTGCCCAAGGTAGGGGCCGGATGTCCCAGCTGAGGGACTGGTATGAGATTGAGGCCTGTTTCTCTTCCAGTAACACAGAGGTGATAGCTCTACCTGTCTGTCCCACAAGATAGTCAGGGTGCATGGGTCAGTGCAGGGACAGGTCCTTTGTCACCTGTGCTCAGAAAGGGGTAGTGTCTGCCTTTCGTGGTGGTGTGCCTATAATCCCAGCACTTAGGAGGCTGGTGCAGGAGGGCTGCTGTGAGTTTGAAGCTGAGTTCAAGGCCAACCTGAGCTACACAGGGAGACCCTGTCTCAAACTGGGTGGGGGGGAGATTGTGGTGTGTGGGCTCAAATAGCCAGTCCAGGAGCCTGGGCTTTGTCCCTGGCTGCACGCTGGTCTGGTCACTGCCATTCCCAGCTGGGCTCTGAGGACGGGGACGTCACTAGTCCACAGGCAGCCCTCAGAGCACCAAGTACACAGCTCCAAGCCACGCACTGCTTCTGGCTTCCAGTGGAGAGCACTGGGCAGGGGAGGATGTATGGCCAGGGCTGGGACTCAGCAAGGGTCTAAGAGAAGAGAAAAGTGGCTGGAAAAGGGTCTGGGCAGGACATGGAGCCGCCTCTGAGAGCCTAGGGAGGAGGTTCAGTTCTGTGCTAGCGGCTGATCAGCGCTCTTCATTCGCAGCGCTCTCTGTCACCCAAATCCACGTCCCCCCCACCATCCCCGGAGGTGAGTGTGCCCAGCCCTGCTCTGGCGGCCCCCTCTCCCCATCCGCCACATGTGCAGTCCCGGCTCTGCAGAGCTCCAGCCGGCCCCTGGTCTGCTCAGTGGCCACGCCTGTGTGACCCGGGTGGCATCAGCCCCTTCTCCCCAGGGAGGCAGTGCCTGTGGGTGGTCTCCGGCTCTGGACAGCGGGAGGTGGCACTCGGGGAGCTGTACCTGTGGGTCGGAGTGGGCAGGGGAGACCTGGGAGCTGCCCGCTTCTGCTCCGCAGGTGTGGGCAGAAAGCCGGACCCCTGGAATCCTGTCTCAGGCTTCAGCCCCAAGAGCCACAGGGACCCCCAGGACCAGCCTGCCACATTTCCACCACCCTGGTAGGTTTCCTGGCCAGTGTGGCTGCGCCATTGCCTGGGAGTGCTTTTCTCCTAGGGGTCTCACCCCTACGTTTGGTCCCCTTCTCTCTGGGGTAAGCTCGTCGCAGCCCTAGCTGGACCCTGTGTTCCTGGGACCCCAGCCAGAGCTCCCAGGACATGGGCCTGTTCGGTCCTCCCTCCCATCCACCCTCTGAGGGACACCCAGGACCTCTGGTTTTGTCTCAGCCATGGACACGTGGTTTGTCCCATTGCACCTGGTATCTCCTGCTATTAGCACGTCCTGCTCAGCTGCTCTTGTCCTCTCTCTCAGAGACCACCCGCCCGGATTCCAACATCTACAAGAAGCCGCCCATCTATAAGCAGAGAGGTGAGGGTTCCCCCAACTTCTCAGGACCCCTTCCTGCCCTATGCTGGTGGCTATGCCAGCACTGGCTGGAGTGGGTGGGAGAATAACTTCATAACAGCATGTCCATCATGGGATTACACATGTGTAATCCCAGCAGCCTGGGAGGCTGAGGCAGGAAGATCACAAGTTCAAGCCCAGCCTGGACATCTTAGCAGTGAGACCTTGTCTCAAAAAACTGAAACAAAACGTATAAGGGGCTGGGATGTAATGCTCAGTGCAAAGGCCCTGGGTTCCATTAACAGTGTTCCCAAACCTGCCCCCGCAGCATGTCACATTGGGCACTGGCCCGTGCTCCTTCCTGTGCTTTACATCGGGGACCTTACTGACGTGGGAGTGAGAGGGGAGGGAGTGCGGAGGGCTGCTGGGTGGGCGTGGGAGGCCATGTGTGCGACTCGGGCCTCCACCCGTCCGCCCATCTGCAGAGTCCATGACAGGCAGCCCTCAGAGCAAGCACCAGATCGAGGACCTCATCATCGAGTCATCCAAGTTCCCGGCAGCCCAGCCCCCGGACCCCAACCAGCCTGCCAAGATCGAGACTGACTACTGGCCGTGTCCCCCGTCGCTGGCCGTTGTGGGTAGGAAAATTGGGGACAGGAGAGAGGGAGGCTGGGACCCTCCCTGTGGGCCCCTGTTGAAGCCTCCAGCTCAGTTCCTCCCCACCCGCACTCTGCCCCTCCCCGGCGTTGCACCCTGTCTTGCATTCCTGCAGCACTTCCTGTCCAAGCATTCCTCCCCGCCCGTTCATTTAGCTTTTCTTTCTCTCTCTATTTTATTTTATTTGATTTTTTTTTGTTTTGTTTTTTGAGACAGAGTCTCTTTATGTAGTTGAGACTGATCTGGAATTTACTATGTATCCCAGGCTGGTCTCGAACTCACAATGATCCTCCTGCCTCAGCCTCCCGAGTGCCGGGATCACAGGCATACGCGCACTACCACACCTGGCTCTCTCTATTTTTATTGGTACTGTCTGCAGTAGACACTGAGTCCATTCTTGGAGGGAGGCGGTCTGTGTTGTGACTCATTTGAACTCTTCCTATCCCTGCTCCCTCCAGTCATTCATTTGGTCCCACAGCAGATTTTTCCCAAACTCTTGCTGAGTCTGGGGTCCTGTGATCTAAGCTGTGGAAAAAAGATTCGGTAGAGAGCTGGTTGTGGAGGTGCATACCTATGACCACAGCCGCTAGGGAGGCTGAGGCTGGAGGATCAAAGTTCAAGCCCAGCCTGGCCAACTCAAAATAAAAAGTAAAAAGAGCTGGGGTGTAGCTCAGTGGTAGAGTTCCATCCTTAGTACTATGAAAAAAAAA